ACGGAGAAACCGGGGAAGCCCCCGGAGGAAAACTCCGTGTTGTCTAGACCACGGCCTTGCCCGACACAAGTTATAAATTCGGGCACCGCCGGGAATCGAACCCGAGACCCCAGGATTACAAGGCCAGCGTTCTAACCGCTAGACCACTCAAATAAAAAGCAAATTTTATAATACGTACATTACAGTGCCTTAAATCGATAATTTGTGTAGTATTCTGAAATTTATCTGGATTAGAAATGTCTAGTTTCTGTGATGTTTTCGGTACTCTGGGGGATCTGCTAACTAAAATTGTATTTAACCGTTTTAAAGCACAGTGGTAACTATATGTACCACATCTTTTAAGAATCAGTACCTCAGCGTTTTGTATTTATATATTTCGTATGATGCACAGAATAAACGGATTTTGTTCCCTTAAACATCATAGTAAAGTTGTTCTTTGTAATGGAGACGTGTTTTCTTTGAGGTACGGACTGAATTTTTAAATACTATTTAAACGAGCTTTGGCTACAGAGGATCTTTACACACTTCAAACGTACTGCGTTATCAGTACGAAGTTTCACTACGTTACTAAGTTTTTTTAATTACATTTTATCACAAAATAAATTAATTTCGTCCCAGAAACTAATGGAAGAGGACGGTCTAAATTCGAAACAGAATATATTCATTCTTTGCACATACTGTCTTAATCTTCAGAGCTGAAGATGGAGACAGTATGTTATCTCCGAAAAGTTGGCATTAACCTACGAGTTCACACAACGTCACAAGCTAGAATAACTAAACTGAAGTTGTCTGGTGAATTAATTATGGTGTATGTTGGTGTAATATAACCAGTAATCAATATGAAATTGGGATAGAATTGCGTAATTTTGTAAATTATAAATTAATGGTATAGAAATCGAATACTTTTATTTGAAACATTTTTCGTGATGGGGAGTGTGTAATGAAGTTAAAGGAGTGGCCGAATGCAGAACCGGTATTTCAGCGTTGTGATATTTGTTTAACACTGAACAATTTAAAATCGGTTATAACGTATTTGTAAAATATGTCTGTAACTTTATTTTCCTTGAATTAAGAAAGCTGTGATTTTCCATGTTGCAAGGAAGATAATTAAAGCAGCGCAGTCGCTTTAGAGGTTCGACGTCCTGACCTCCGAGTACGATTCTGAAGTTGACATTTGAAATGAATCGAATAAACACGTTTTTTACAGAAAGATGAGAGCTTACATTATAGGAAACTGACTGATCCATGCTGGGGGGTAGACCCCCGTGGGAACTGGACAATCGCCTCTCAGGCACTAGTAATGGCGTTCTCATCGACCCTAGGGACAGCTGACTGGACAGCAGAACAATTGCCTCTTGTGACCACTGAATATTGCTCTTTGAGATAAAGACCATGTCCACGCAGTCGTAAGTAGCATTACCGTTTCAAGAGGCTGGCTTGTTCTGTAGAGTCCGCGACTCACTGTCTGCTTCCTCAATGTCTGGCTTATCCACTGCACATTCGCGATAACTGAATTTGACTGTAGTTGGTTCGTTATTATGCTATTTAAATGACGCTAAATCAGCTGAAGTTCCTGCTCTTACGATTAATTACGTTCTTGGAAATATTAGCAAAGCGAGTCGCTATTTATACAAGTAAGACTTAAAGAATTATCATATAAAATATTCAACATATACAATGTAATTAGTCTGTACGTTGTGATCTGTACTGTGTACGATCAGTTACTTCAGGAAATATTTCGGAAGTATGAATTAAGATTTCTGAAAAAATAATTCTAGAACTTCAAGAAATCTAAAATTAGTTGGGGTGGATATGTAATGAATCGATGTGTGCGTGTGTCCGCAACGTGGAATTACGTCACCACAAGCCTTCACTAATGAACTCTATTGAATCAGAGTCCTTGTTGAGTAGCTGATAGTTTCTCAGTTCACCATTTCCCATCACTGAACCCTGTTCTTAACTAGATAAATGCAGTTTACAGTATCTTACACTGTTTAATTAACTAAATAATTAAAGTTATTTTAATATTATTCTCGCTTGTATGACTAGGCCTTATGGGGTGGGTCTCTTCGCTTCAAGTATCCCAACTAAAATGTTGTACGCATTTCTCATTGCCCTGATGCCCTAACTATCTCATCCGTATTGATTTGATTGGAATCGGCGTAAATTGAAACGATTTTATAATGTAAATCAATGAGAAGTCAATAACATGCGTTCCCAGCACCCAAACATTGACGAGTAATGTAATGGCATTACATTTAAAGCTCTGAAATAACCTAAATAAAAAAAGGGAATTTACAAAATATATTTTGTACACTTACAATCGGCGATGGTGTGATGAAGCAGCGTTAGTTCTCTGACGAAGTCCCTGGTTGAGGATCGTCATGTTTTTTAAAGAAGGCACGTAGTGTGGACTGTCGTGATTTCTTCTTTCTTTCTTTCAAAATTTTACGATAAGGCCTCATGGATGCCATAACGCTTCTCTTAGCTGTAGCACAAGAGAAAAAGTTTGCATTTCACAAACAGCTTTTACCGATTATCGATCTGATTGGAGCAAATTCGCGTTAACGAAACACATGTAATTGCAGAGATGGCTGTATTTATAGTTTTTATTCAAAATCAGCGATGTAAGAATTACGATTTAGTATAAGTAGCAGTACTAGAAACATTTTAAAACGTTATAAATAATATTAAAATATATTTTTTCCCACTTTTTGACTTTCTAGTTTCAAAATCGGCGTTGTTCTGAATCGGCGCAAATCGAGGGCTACCTGTATTGTGTTCATTGAATCTAGTTCTTTTCAAATTGAAATTAAATGTCAGTTTTATTGGAAATCTTAACCACTGTAGTTTCAGACGGCATTCTTGGTACTGAAATTGACTGTGTTCGGTTTTGTAGGAGTCTTATACCCAATTTCTATCTTTAACGTCGAAACGTGACGCACTAAGTTAGCCCAAGTCATTTTCCGATCTTTACAATGTTTGTTTGTCTCGATGGACAAACAAGCCAGGCCAATGAAGACGTTATTCCGGCTGGCATGATAACTTGCGACTGTGGGGTAAAGTTTTTGGCGTCACGTTTTTGTCACTGCTAACGCCTGTGTTGTAGAACAAACGTGTTAAAGTCGTGGCTGTTGATGTGGTGTATTATGTGTACAGAAAGATTATACCATGTATGATTTTGTCTGTCACTACCTTTAGTAGATTTATTTTATGTCATACTGCAGTCATCTTACACCAAACTATATCGCCGGTTGTCATACTATTATTTTTAATTTTATTTATAATTTATAACCACTTTCAAACATTTTTCAGATGTAATACTCTATACAAAGCTTTGATACACTATTTAATGACATTATAACGAATTACACATCAAAATTTCGTGTTTTTTTTCCAAGTTGGTATTAATAAAATTTGATATCTTCCCATCTACACCTAGATCTTCCAAGTGATCTATTTCCTTTTGGTTTCTTGACTAAAATTTGTACGCAGCACTCATGTATTCCATGCGTACTACATGCCCACCCTGCATATTCTCCTTCGCTCGATTATCGTAGTAATATTTGAAGAGTGAAAATAATTAAGCAGTGCTAAATATAATTACGATTGAGGTCGGAATTTGCAAGTATGTGGCTTTTTTTCAAGAATTGTTATTGTTGATTTAGTGAATACAAATCACGAATAGTGGTTATCTAACCTCAGTATTTGTAATGAAGATGTGTAGCTTAGCTGAAATGTGACATTTCTTCCGATGGATGGAGTACATTAACTCAACAGTAGCTTGGAGAGACGCTCGATTCAAGTAGCGGCTAGTTCACTGTCCGTGCTATGATTTATCGTGGTTTTCTCGAAGTTCTCCAGTCTAGTACCGTGACATCCATCTCCTTTAATTAAACCATGGTCCATTTTCATCATTACTGTTTATCCGCATGCAGTCGCCGCATTTCATCCGGAGATAAATAACCCCATGAAATTACACTTTCCTGAAATTTTTGGGCTTAAGACTTCTTTACCCTTCCACCGGCGATGTAATCTGAGCTATTATCTGCGTCTCAAATAAAAAATAAATACATGTATTAATTTATAAACATAGATAAGAATTAAAGTAATACGTAAATAAACATTAAAACAATAAATAAGCAAATAAATAGGCATCAAATAAATAAGTACATAAATATGTAAATAAATAATAAATAAGTAAATATAATTAAATGAACACTAAATAAATACGTAAATTATTAAATAAACAAATAACTAAACACTGAATGTGTAAATAAATAAATAAGTAGAAAAATAAATGAAGAATGAGGCCAGACCGGGGCACAGCATTGCGGTCTACACCACAGCTGGCTCGCTTTACCTACAGGTAGGAAGAGAATTTAAATCAATAACAAACAAATAGTTCTGCTTTAACGGCCTGATGACGCTAATATTGTGGGGCAAAGCACCTGTTGGCTCAGGAGCGGGAGACTCCATCAATTTTCTTTAATACCACGCCCCTGTCTTCATCTTTGTGGACTGCTTTATTTCATCCTGGGTTTAGTTTAAGTATACTTTTTTTTCAAATCGTCGAATGATTATGAATGATTAATAGGAAAGTATGTGGAAGTAAGTCATATTGGTTTATTTAAAGAACTGTCATAGCATTTAAGTGAAGAAACCCGAAGAACCGTCCGAATACTCTGTCGATGGATCGCCAGAGACTGTATATAATTCCAGAGCTCCATGTAACAACTGCGTCTCGACGCCCGGAGGATTGCTTTTGTTTGCATTCGTTGCTGTTGATGTTCTGTGTGCGATATGTATACGATTTCTAAAAAAAAAAAGCCAGCCTGCCACTGGACCTTATCCTGTATCAGTTAATTTTAACCTGTACTGTCCTATTTCAGGTCTATTTTAATATTATCATTTTGTCTACGTCTGGATCTTCCGCATACATTTCAGAATTGTCTTGCTCTGGTCTTGTCTGAACCAGGCTGCTTTCTTGTGCCCTCTAGGAGCAGAAACGTAAACTTTTCCATACTTCAGTCTACGACTCCGAGGTGCAGTTGAAGAAGCTGTATATCCAGACTTGCAAGAGACTTCCTGCTCACGGTTGTAAGGTCTATCAAGTCAAAGAACTCCTCCGTGGGAAGACGAAGAAGAAGGTAAGAATGCAGATCCTAGTTTGGTGGGTATACAGTATATTAATTTTATGGAAAAGATACTTTCCTGAGAAGCAAGAAGCTTCCTAGGTGAGATTTCAGAGTCTCGCGGTGGCGAATTCTGAAGAGTGTCTCCTGGGATGGTGTAGCCTTGTACATATTGACCAATGTTTCTGAGGTCCTTTCTGCCTCCATTATCAAGGTGATGAAAACTCGTTGTAACAAGCTTGCATAAGACAGTAATCTAATAGTTTCCAGCTATTCATGGACCTAAAAAATTATTACAGTGTTAACAGGATCCCGTCACTGGACTTTGATGAATCCAGTTTACATCCTCCAACTTAATTCCATCCATTTTAATATTGTTTTAGTTCCGAAATCAAGTTCCGTTAAGTAAATAAATTTAGAAGCCCCGTCTCTCACATTTTCGCCTGTTTTTAGTCACTGAATATTTCTTTCGCAGATTTGCATAATTTTAGTTTTTAATGTGTAATAGTTCATGTCATGTCATATTTCGTGTTATCAGGGCTGCAACAGTAAAGATGGTTGTCTGGGTTATTGCGCCTTGTACTCTGGTGGAGGATTATGGACGTTTTAAAGGCGCTTGCTGCCTCCATCATCAGAGCTACTTGCCATGATGATGGAGGCAGTAAGAACCTTTGAAACGTCGATGAACTTCTACCAGACTACACGGTGTAAGATCCCTAAAGGCAGTCATTTCTTATCATATTTACATGGAATTACTTTTATTAATTGATCGTATGCCTATAGTAATTATAATTGCTTTGTTACGCGCCAGTTGATGTGAGCTTATTTTGCCATTTTTCATTTTTTTGTTTGGTTTATGTACAGAGCCTGTATTAATTAGAGCAGAAACAAATCACATTGTCTTATACCATTATTAGCTTTGATTGATTTTTAAATTTGTCGTGATTGATTATTAATGTAATTTATTTTTATTTTGATATAGAATTTCTATTGTCTTAATTAAATTTGTTCGCAGTATTTCTTCTCTGAAAATGTGAAAACGTATCAACACATTTAATAAACTGAAAAGAAAAAAAAATTAATACTCAAAGGTGCTTGGCGAACTTTGTGATGCTGGAGTGGTATATCAGTGACTGGTTGGAATGGCGGTAATTTTATTTTTGTGGACGGTTCGCACTGAAAACGCTTCATTAAACAGTTTAAGAAGCGTCCGCATAGTGCAGATGGTCGATATTTGCGTGCGTCAACTTTTAAGATAACAAAAGAGCCAATAGAGTACATAGACGTACAAGCCGGACAGACAATAAATAGCATATGTTGACAGAAATTATCCCAAGGCCCAGCTGAGGTTTTAACTGCTTTTAAATAACAAATCGGTTTTACCACAAGATATCTAAGGTACTTACATAAATGAAAGACTTCTGACATGATTTTATATGCCGTATGTCATTGTACTTTTAGTAATGAGGCTTCGAGAGAGCTGTAGCCAAGCTCTCCCTGCGAGTGTAAGCCGCGGCTATCTGGCTAACAACGTCTGGCTGGCTTGAGCTGCCTTGGGGTTCATTTAAGATTGTCGGTTTTGGAATACCACTGAATCACAAAAGTAAGGCAGATTTTTTGTGTTAGCCTGTATAAGTCGGTTAACGTGGTTAATGTTAACGTTCTGGTTCTGGGCGAAAGAAATATCACTTTTCGAGCATAAAGCATTTAGTTGTCTTTTGCTTTTGTAAAAAAAAGTACATTGGACGCGAGCCATCATGGTGCCATGACACATCAAAGTTTTCAGATCCTGAAGTGTGTAAACTTTATAAGCGCGCGAAGTGTATTTAAATATCTGACTAATTTGCTTTTCTAACTCGATGTTATTTAATCGACTTATCCATTTCACTTACCGAGAAGTCTGTCACATAATTCCAGTGCTTCGGAATGCTGCTATGATTTTTCGAATGAACCATGTTTACAAGATTTCTGCCTGACGTTCAGTGTTCTATTTTATTTAGTTGTTTCTGTACAGTATCAAATCGATGATGATGATGTTAAGCCACAGAATGGTGTGGCTTATGCGTGTTTAAACAGATAATATGGGGATGTTTTCACTCCCAATTAAACGTTAATTTACGGTATAAATGTGGGAGTCATTTATCTAGACATTGCCGCTCTAGTGAGATTAGTTGTGTTTTGAAACGTCCGTGTGCGCCACTCTTTATATGCCCCAGTGACTTTAAAATTAAGTACACGAAGTTTAACTGGAATTGGACTTCCATTTGTAACTTCGTTTCGATATGACAGGGTATGGGGTTGTGAACGTTTATGTAGAATATTAATAAATCCAGTGTCAAGTGTTTAGTTACATTAAAGCCAAGCTATTTCCATTAGAAAATATATAATTCTATAAAATTAAATAAAAATATTAATCAGTGGCGGTTGTCTAGGTTGTAGCGACGTGTAGTCTGGTAGAAGATTATCAACGTTTCGTCCTGATGATGGAAGCAGCAAGGACTTCTGAAACGTGGTAAACTTTTACCAGAAGTTACAACCCAGAAGACAGCCATTTTCATACTCACCGCCGTGAGAACTTCAAATTCTACCATCTTAAAGGTTGTTTGTTCTGTAATATGTGAATATGCATTTGCTTCCCAATATTTCCATGGAAGAGAACCCATCTTGAGAAGATGATAGTGGTATCTTTCGTCAAAACCTCCTTGCCTTTTACGTATCTGTAAGGTTCATTGCCGTATTCTGAAGAGTTCACCACAGGTCGTTACCCTAAGCCATATGAATCCAATCTATACGCTTTTTCTTGAAGGTAAATTTTAATAACATCCCCTTGCGTCTACATGCCACAGTACTGTATCGTGATGAATCACTTTAAAACACCCAACACTTCCATTGTTTGAGAAAAATGTCAATAATTACTGAACACTTATTTTCCATACTTTCTTGTGTTCGTTTCTCTGAGTTAAAATCCACTTTATTACGTACAGACTTAGCGCAGAAAATAGTCTTTGTACCTTGTGAATCAAGCGAGAGGGTCTAAAGAAAAGAATGTAATCGCTTTGAAGTTCTGGTGGAGGGTTCTGACTTTGAACGTATTAGCGAGATTCTCTGTCTCCTACTACTGCTTCACTTTGTTGCTTTATCATGACGTATTTTAGCAACAGGAGTCAAATACGTTATGACACAGATTCATCGGAAAATCTCCTGATATTGGCTGTTTTTGTTGAAATTATTCTTGGTCTTCCTCAGTTACGTCAAACGAATATGAATAGCTACAAACCTCTAGTTATGCAACGAATAATTCTCCAATTTTATTCAACGCTACCAGATGTTAGAACTTGTTACTGCACCGTCAGATAGCCATCTTGTCAGAGTGACATATCGAGCAACAGAGCAATAACCAACCTGTTGAGCTACTGTCAGAACTAACACCTAACCAATCAACTAACCGATATCCATTACTGTTACAATGGGGCGAGACTGTCTGTGCAAATTGGCCTTTTGTCCACCCCCAAATAATATAATATGGAAACAAATTCCCATACCTTACAAAGAACGAATTAAACAACCTGGTTAGCTGATTATCATCTCAACCGATCTAATTACCGACCAAAAAACTGTTTATCTTCCACGTATAATCAAACAACTAGCTGTTTATCACCCAACAAACTAACCTAACCAACGATCAAATCTTTCTTGTAGTCACTCAACCATCCATCTTTTACTAGAATAAGAAATAGTCGTTTTGTGGGTTGTTTCACCTCTGAATCGTCGGTAAACTTCTACCAGACTACACGGTGGAACAACCCAGACGTCAGCCCATCATATTCATCGCTGTCAGAACCAGAAATCTGAATTATCCAACTAGTGTTTATTGTAGAGACAACGATGAACGTCTTAACATCCCGAAAGAGTACAAGTTTGTGCCCGATATTTTAAACATATTTTTTGTTTAGGATCACATATGTTTCATTCTCATGAATAATCTCTCTGATAAGAGTTTTGTTAACACTATCAAAACATCACTGCGATGAAAACAAAAATGGCACACAGAACACAAGAACTACACTGCATCTGTCACTCTTTGTCCATATTAACTTCCCAAGCTCGTTCACTGATGTGGAAAATAAAACCAAAATTTATCCCTGTTCATTTACAATATTTTATTTAATATCCTTGTGGTTTATAATATAATATTTTGTACACCATTATACAAGTCTGTAAAATAGAATCTTTATTGACACGTACAGTTATTCAGTCGTATATTAAATTGTGTGTGGTAACCGACTTAGCTCTGTACTGTAACGTCCTCGAATGTGGTCAGTAATTTTAAATAAATAATTATCAGGTGATACTTGGGGTTCTTCCGGCGACGAGTAAGAAGATTGCTGCTTTCTGGGATGTAGCATTTCTTTCGTCATCAGTGTCATGCATGCAATAAGTCTCTGTGAAATGTCGGTCAATACACGGTTCTGCATCCCAGAGGACTGTCACCTTCAAATGATCATCATCTGGGTTACTGCATTTATTACTTTGTGTTTTGTTTTACAGGCTGCCAGGTTACTAGGATTGGGGCCAGAGAAAATTGTCCTTCTAGATAATAAGACCAAGATCTTAGCAAAATCTCAAAATACAGCTGATCTCGTTCAGGTAAGAATGTCGTAATTAATTTAATACTATCTTTGACTCTTGTTATACGTGAGTTGCGTTCCTGCGAATCGCCGCGTATATCCGGAATACTTGAGTGGGTTTCAAATGCGTACAACGAGAGTTACCTCTAGTTTACAGGCGAAATCTGTTTGTCTGTCCTGTAGTGGCGTACTTGCGGAGGCCGTTCCCATGACAGATTGCAACTGGAGTTCAGGGCTACGCGCTGGTCGCTGGTTGTGCCCACTGTGGCCGCAATGCGCGAGGTGGGTTTGGCCCTATGGGAGATCCTCCAGGAGCTCGACTCCCACTTTCTGGAGGAGCACGCCCTCCTTCGACGATTCGGCCAACAAGGTAAGATACTTCTCCAAAGCAGTTGGAAATGAAATTCGTTTTGCTAACTTAAATAATCTAGTAGCCAAGATACATTCGTCCTACCCAGTTTCTTCCTAACAGACTACAAAAAGATCGCCTTGGGGAGACAACCCCATGAAACCAAATGAAATCAAGCCAAACCAAGCTAAGCTAAACCACACCCAAATGGAAAGAAACGCACTGAAATAAAAACTACTCTGCAGCTAGGTGTGGTGGAGGAACCTATATTTTACATTTTAAACTATATTTATGTGTCCATCACTTTATGGATATGAAGGGACGTAATTTGACCTTGTAGCGTGGAGTGCTCAACCTGTCTTGTCAGAACGTAAACATCACGCGTCGTGGAGTGACGAGAATGGTTCATACATTGAACGTCCATCTCTCTCACATTTATGAAGAAAATTCAGTCCGGCTTCTTTCGTCTCACAGGAAAAGAAGCTGGCTTTCACACGACGTATAATATGGCCCTGAAAAATCGATTTCTTTCTGTTGTTTGTCGCCTTGAATTATCGATTAATTGATTTGTGTCATCTGAGTGCAGGCTTTCTTTCGTGCCTCTCTCTATCGAACGAGTGTGAAGCAAAATGAATTCGGTTTCGTTGTTAGTGTAGATTGTATTAGGAACTTTCAAATGGTATGTGACACGTCCTTGATGACACATTTATTTCTCTTTTTTTCGCCTCTACTATTACGTAGTGCAACAATGGCGGCAAGCAGCTAAGGTTTTAGGGTTAGAGAGGAAGTAGATAAGTTGTGGATGTTTTTTTAGGTTATGAACATCCGAACCCTAGTTATTAATGATGTTAATAAATTGATATATTTTAGCATCGTCATTAAAATGTGTGTGCTATGCTTTATATCAATTTGTAAGCAGTAATCTAAGCTTGAATGTAATATGATTTATTTCTGTGGAAGTTACATGCATATTGTTTGCACATTATTGCATAAGCTTTTTAACTTGCTGTAGAAATTGATCAAGATTAGTGTTTTAGGACAGCGTTTTTCAAATTTTCCAGTTTACAGCCCGGATTGCAGAAGCTTTATCACGCATGCTTTGAGACTGACATATGTTATACCTTTAGTATTATCTTACAGTGTTTTTTTATATAATACTAGTAAAATTTGATAATTTGTCTTAATTTTCTTTGAAGACAGTGACATATATTTAATATTTGTGCCTTATATATATAAATATATATATATATATAAAGCTGACATTATTATTAATTTTTATGATCTATTAATCAATATATAATGTATTGTCGTCTGCCGCGTATATATTAAGGCCGGCAGTTTTTTCAGAATAAAAAAATACATATTTGGTACATTGTAAATATCTGGTTGCTACTTATTGTTTGAAAAACGCTGTTGAGGCTGTCACTGCTCTGGATCACGTAGTCAAAGAAACTGGCGAGTGTCTGTGGCCCCACCTCCTGTACTTTTTTCCTGTTACCCAAGTAGGGATAGAAGGATACATGCACCTTATCCTCAGTTGGAAGTATTTAAAGTAGACTAATAAATATATGAGTGCTTTTCTGAAGGCGGAGAATGGTTCATTGTGATGTTTCACTAGCATTGATGCCAACATTCTTATTACGAGGGGCGTATACAAATGATTTAGACAGCTGAATTATGTGATCCTTGATGGCGGTGGCTCCCAGGTTACATTTCGGCCCATTCTACATATTCTCCCTGGAGGTCGATTCACCGTTGCCATCTCTCTGGCAATTTCCGTATTTCCTCACGAAACCATTGTTTGGGGGTGTCTCGTACCCACTCCCTGACAGCATCATGCAAGGCGTCACTATCAGGGAATCGGTGTGATTGCTGTGAATGCGCAATGAACCACAAATATTGCATGGGTCAGGTTTGCATATGGTCACGAAATTAACATCATTTAGACTCCATCTGAAATTTTAGTTTTTAATGTAAGTGCTCCATAAACAGAGAAGATATTCTGAAAGATTTTGCAAAATTTGTGAGATTTAAGGTTCTCACGGCAGGAAGTGACCGTGACAGCGACTGACAAGTTGTAACGTCATCAGGGCGATGAAACATCGACCAGACTACACAGCGCAACAACCCAGAAGACAGAAATCTTCATACTCAACCTCAAATCTTACAAGTTGCAAGAAGATGGTTGACTTCTGGGTTGTTCCTGAATGTAGTTTGGCAGAAGTTTATTGATGTTTCAGAGTAAACTCATCGCCAGTGTCTCTGAAATGTCAGTAAACTTCTAGCAGTGTAAAAACTGAGAAGACAGCCATCTTTCTGCAACTTGTCATTCATTGTTTTGTGGCATTTTTTAGACTCAAATCTGAAATGTTTTCTTTTCCTAAATGCTGTTGGCTATTGGTAGAAATGCATGTGGTTCCTGAACAAATGCTTCGAGCTGATGTACAGCGATTTAACCGCATGTCCTTCCCCCTCTTGTGTATTTTGGAAGATCATTTCTGGTGCTGGTAGATGGAGGCTCACAGAACTGTGATGCACTACATCAGTGGTTCTCAAACTGGTACACATACCCCTTAGAATTATACACGTTAGCAAGGGGTGCATTCAGAATTTTTATTTATACCAGTAATTAAGTAATATTTGCTAAGGTTGACAGGTGTAGGTCTGTCAGAACGCGTAATATTCCCATACACTTGGGGTCTGATGTATAGACTTGTGAGAAGAAATAATCGTCTAGGATTATTACTGTAATCGTCCCCGTTTATGATGATTGTTATGGTCACCCAACACCGTGATATCTGACCTGTTCTTCTGAAAAATTATTACCAGGGTCAGATCTGTAAATTAGTACTTGTATGCCAGTTTATGTTTAATATTTCGTCATATAATTCGCATATTGAGCATGTTTGCTTCTCGTAATTATTTAATGTATCAAAAAGGGAAACCAACTTTATTGGAGTTCTGTATTCAGTATTTTGACACGCGTTCTCTGCACCTTTGCATCCTGAATGCTCGTAGCTGAGACAGAAAACTAAATGGTAGTAAATTAAATACAGGCTAACTACGCAAGCATTTCCATAAATAACGCCCATGTAAGCAGAGAAGTAGATTTGCATATTATGCAAACAAAAGTGTGTTTTTAACATAAGCTAAGGTTTAATCATTAACTCTTACCTACTTTTCTTCTTATTTATGATAGAAACTGAAGAATTTCAATTCATTTCATATCTTTCCATTATGATCGCTGTTTTTATTTTTAATGCTTGGAAATTAAAGTTCTCTTTGTCCTTAGAAGTTTTCTAATAATTACCCCTCCATGTTTAACACTGTGCTAAGCAACTGTATTAATAGACGTAAATACACCTCAATGTTGAGGCATATATTTATTTTTATATATTTATTTTAATTATTCTCATTCCTTTGTGACTAAGCACTTTAAATACTTTTTTTTTAAGTTTTTATAAATTTATAATCGTGATTGTTTGGTTCGTAATGCTGTGTAGTCTTATAGATGTTTGCCACTGTAATGAGATGTAGGTGTTCACTTCCTCCAAAACATCGGCAATCAGTCACATAACATCACAACCCAGAAGATCAAAATCCAATTTTTTTTCTGTCGTGTAAACCTCAAATTTCACACTTGATATAATTAACCTCAGCCTTAATTTTGATAACGATAAAAGTGCACTGTATGAGATAGACTTCTTTGGGTTTTTTTTATTTTATGATGACAAGTATTCCTAAAGAACATTTTGGGTATCATGCAACATTTAAAAAGTGAATCTCTATAATGCCTTCAGTCTTCACGCAACAACTTATGAATAAATAACTGTACGCTTATATGTATGGTCAAATAGCCTGAAACATGTCGTAAAAAAAATAACAACATGAAATACCACATGTAAGTTTATAGAATTTATTCTCGCGTTGTTATGTGACGACTGAGGACAGTATGAGATTTAATTGATCCACAACTTGACACTGGAATATAATTTAAAAAGTTATTCATCCAGAAGTTGACTGATATAAGATATCTGAAATCTCACATATTGTTGAATATTTTAGAATTAATCATTAGTATCAATTTTTTAAATGTTATGGTCATAGACCACACTCAGAACCTAAACTAGAAACATTCTTGTAAACCACAGAATGTCGTGATTACTTTTCACAAATCCTTTTTAAAACAAGTAAAGTAATTCTAACAGTAATATTTCTGATTCCCCTGGTAAATATTAAATAAAATACTTAATAATAATTATCAAGAAGGAATAAAACATTTTTAAAGGGGTATGTGACCCAAAGAACCACTGCTTTATGTATGGAGGTGGTTGCGATGCCATGCCCGCGGTGTTCCAGAGCTGGTGAAGCGGTCACTGCTGACCCTGCAGGTGGCGCACTCAGAAGAGCTTGAGGCGTTGCAGAAGCTGCTTCACTTCCCAGAGGAGGTGGCGTTGCGGCTGGCCGACACAGAGTATCACCTGTTCTACCAGGTCCCGCCTATAGATTACTTACGTCAAGTAACACTAGACCTCGGTGGTGGTACCGGTGATGTTCCCACTTCTGCGTCGGGACCTGGTCCATCCGACCATCCACACCAACCAGCCGCAGAGAGCGCCACCTCTACCTCCGCATCGGCCGCAAGGCCTTCAGTCCGCAGCCTCATCAAACGCTTCAATGAGGTAAAATATTTTATATATCACATATTGTAGTGCCTGATATAATCTTGGTGCATTGAGGAAACATTGTCTTAAATTACTAATTCTAATGATCAGATTTCTTCTCATCGTCAAGAAGTTTTAGATTTGATATACATAACAGGTATGGACCTGATGTACTTTTTAAATTCAGGAAGTTTGTCCTGAAGACGGAGATAGAGTCCCATCTCCGAAACGTCGTTTTATGTTTTATATTTACTAGATGATGGATAATATCCAAGGAAATTTTTATTCAATATATTTCTTCTTCTTTTCAGTTTCTTGACCTTAACTTTGGTCTTCCGGTGCCTAATATTTTCTTCCATTTTAGAAGTTAAAATTCCCAACCTCTTACGGTACCCAGAAATTTACCTTTGTGTTCACAAAAACCTGCCATTAGCCTCGTCCTGAAGCAGATAAATATGGCCCGCACCCTTATACCCTATTTCCTTTAGTTCCATCTTAATATTGTCCTCCCATGTTGTCTTAAAGCACTCCACTTCTTATTAAGATCGAGAACTACAGCTAGGTAATACTGTTGTGATGAAAGGAAATTCTGGACTCGTCTACTAGTTATGCCTTATTAATTATTTTAGGGTGATGGGGAATTAAATACTGATGAGGTATTCAGGCCTGAGACAAGTGAAGTAAAAATGAAATTGAGGTATAAAGAACCTGAAAAATGAAGAACTACATGGTTTGTACTTTTTACACAGTATTATTAGGATGAGTAGATAAAAAAATGATGTGTTAGGTGGAACATGTAGCATGCATACAAAATTTTGGCTGAGAAGAATTAAGTGAAAATGGCATAGTAGATATAAGTATACATTAAAGCATAATTTTATTCCTTTCAGGCAATTTGCTCTCTGGGAATAAGTATCTTGCCATGAAAGCACAAAGCTAATGACTAACCTGTCTAGTGCCATGGTTAAGATTGGAAAGATATTTGCTTCCACATCCATTATATTCATTCATGGCATGGTGACTACAGCGGCCCATCCACGTACGAGTCCGGCTCGGCTCGGGTTCCATCGAGCCAAACTCGTTTGTGGGTGGGGTGTCACGAGCCGAGTCTGCTATCTACATGTGGTGAAATATATCCAAGCTCGCCGAGTCAGACTCGTACATGGATGGGCCGCTTAAGTATGCTAACAAGTTTGTTTGGAAATTGAAAAATTTAGGAATAATGAAAACTCACGTGAGGTTTCATGTCGTCATTGCAGGTGAGCTCGTGGGTGACACACCTCATCATCACACAGCCCACACATGATGACCGCAAGGCTGTCCTGTCCTGTATCCTTCGAGTGGCACTAACATGTTGGAACATTGGAAACTTTAACGGTGCCATGGAGATTGTTGCCGGACTAAAGTGAGTAACAAGATGTGTAATAATGTATCCCTGCTACTATTTCAATGTAGTGTTAAGTTCTTAGACTCTTAGTCTTTCTCCCTTTTGTATACTAGTACTTTGGTTTTCTTTACATAGTGTATCTGCTGAGAATAAAGCATTTATAAAACTTGAACTGTAAATGACACCATTGCAACATTATGTAATACCCCAGTTATTGGGTTCCTATTTATAGGTAGGAATTAATTTATTTTGAAGAAGTAAACACTGTGAAAGGGGTGTCAAATTGAAAACAAGAAATTATTTCTTTAAAAGTGTGAAATCTCTTGCTATGGATAATTATTTTTATGTCTACTTTGTTTTGTTTATATTCACTGTTGTAGATTAGGCTGTAGGTGCTTCAGTGCTGCTAAATGTTTTACGATTGAAACTACTGATAAATATAAGCGTGGAAATTACAGTATTGTATTATGCTTATTTTAGTGGTATCCCCATGCGAATGCTTATACATAAATAATGTATTGAATTAATAAAATTTGTAAGTATAAAAGATCTGTTTAATCATATATACGTTTTAGATTCTTAATCTATATGTAATTTATGAACATAGTAGAGGTTTCATCATCTTAGTATATAAATCAGTTTGTAACAGATGGAAAACAAACAATTAAAGCTGGAGCTGAAAATTGAGAAATAAATAAATTGTTGAACACTTCCTGTGTCATCAGTAAAATGATAGAAAACTTCTTTAAATAATATGAAAATGGCATTTGTACTGAAGAAGGCTAGTGTATAAAAAGTATTCAGCATTTAACATTTCTGTATTCATGTCTCTTCATGCTCTCATACTTAAAGTATTTGACTTGAATGAGTTTATTAAGTGCCCTGCAGACAGCCAGCATCTCGTTCACCAAGGAAACAGATACGATACAGAGAATGGTTACCTGGAAGATCAGCAACACATGCCACGGCTCAGGGGCAGGGGTTTCTTTCGGCCTCCAGCCGACATGGAATGTTGTAGGCCGGCGGAAACTACTTGCCTCTGAGCCACAAACCAGTCGCATCATTATACGTCATCATTCAACCTGAGTATCAGAAGATGACACTAATACTCCTCTCTTACATAATAATTGTATTGTAAGTTGAACTCTCATGTTTGTGTCAACAGAATTAACCCTTCAAAGCCGAATAGTAACTACATATTCCACCTGCATTAAAAATCAGTAACTCTTTTGATTTTCTATTTATGGATTTCATGATTCTCACTCTTAATAGGGACTATTTCTGTAAACAACATTTCTTTTCAATCTCAGTCTAGTGGCTTCACATTTTGTGTGAAACAAAGGCTGATCTTCACTGTTATGCTAGAAGACTGCATGTTCTCCTAACAGGTCAAACAAGCTGAAACCATTCTGGCTGTCGATCACAGAGAAGGAAGCGCTGCCAGTGCTGGATTTCCTGTCAGCTGCACTCCTCTCTGCTGAGTATGAGAGGGCCCTGGGTCGGGCATTAGCAATGCCTGAATGCCCTGTGGTACCGTTCTTCGGAGCATTCCTACGAGAGTTGCGAGAGATCTTGGCTTCTACCCCTAGTCTGGTGGTGCTGGCCCCAACGGGGGAACACACTCGCCTGGAGGTGAGACCTCCTTCTGGCACCGCATTGAACCGTCCTCAGCGCCAGCGCACTCAGCACCGCCACTTTCATGGCCGCCATCCTGTGGTAAGCCACCTTGCCCCCTGGGGTTCGAACTAACATACCCCCTCACTTAATGTTGCATTACTTATCACCAAAACAACATCCGCTGCCACCATAACCCATCTTAAAACAGAGAATGTTCAAAGACAAGTAGACTTCAGTACAAACTTTATTGCAGTCTGATTGGTGTTTCATTTTGGCATAAAATGGATAGAGATTGCATCAGTTAATTTTGTGTAGTGTGTAGAAAAAATAAAAATGCTTTTACATAGACTTTTAATTGTTATAAAAGGACATCTTTATTTTTGTAAATCGAGAGGTTCCTACTCAAGTAGGTATTTTGGCTCTTGTTAACTAATGGGAATGTTTATGAACTTTAAAAAATATGTTTTTGGTGTGGGGGAAAAGAATCCTTTGAAAATTACATTATTTATCCTCTATTTATACACATTTTCTGCTAAAATTTTAATTTCTAACATTTTCTACTCTTTGGATCTAACCTATCTGATGTTCATCTGTTGCTTAGTTTAATATTTGTTCCATTATTCTGCTGAATGATCTTTTGTGTCCTGCCTATTTTATATAATTTTTTCATAATGTACTGTAAAACATCCTCTGAGCAGTTCATAAACAGTTTTTTCAGTAATTTTACATTCCTCTAATTTGTTTGTAATAATTATATTGATACATTTACTTGTCTTACTTCTTAAACATTTTATAAACTTGGCAGATATTTATAATAGATAATGAATCTGAAGATTTTACGCATTTCATAACAATTCTGCTCAGTGATGTATGTTAGTAAGTTTTAATTGTTATATTAATTTTTTAATGAACAAACGTAACGTTTTGTTAAACTGAATACTACTCTGTGATTATATATGTAAATATGACATAATTTTAAAAGTACAACTGCCAACTTAACAGAGGAATAGAAGTCGCTAACTCGCTTTTTAGTTCTTACTGCGATGAAGTAATGAAATGTATGGACGTACTGGTGTAACACTTTTATATTTTATTATTTTCAAATTTAATTTGAAATGGCACATTCTTATGCTTGTTGGTTCATGCATTTAATTAATTTTGCATGTTACTTTTCTTCACTGCCGTATTTGTCCATATATCTGTCCTTTGGATCGAACCCTGGTGGGGGCTGGGAGGGCAGGTGGTATATGGACTGCATGCGGACAAATGGCCCACAGTTTTCCCTGCATCTGTCTGTGACCATTTGTTTGCAAGCAGTACAAAATGGATCCACAGTTATACTGTGGAAAACAGAATTACTATACTTTAAGAGGCGATATTTGAGATACTCTTCTCTTAAATTTCAATTACTGTGCATGTCTTAAATGTATATATTATATTGCCAAAAGATGTGCTATTTGCACAAGTAACATCTTTGAATGGTAAGACAAAATTTGTTCTTCTGTCGGCAAACTATCGAATCAGATCAGCATGGAATTCTACAGATATACTAGATGTTGAAGATTTCTGTCTTCTGGGTATGAATTCATCGCCCTGATGACGGAGGCAGTATGACCTCTGAAACGTTGGTTAACATCGACCACACTACACAGCGCAACAACCCAGAAGACAGAAATCTTCATACTCACCGCTGTGAAAACCTCAAATCTTATTGTTAGTGTTAGTGTTATTACACTGTAATGTTCAGTATTTGTATAGATGCACAGCTATTACTGTTAAGAATTAAACTTTAATTTATTAACCCACAAGCTTACAGACTTTACAAATGAACAGCAACCATTGGAAAGCTTATGGATCATCATACGAAGAAGATAGAATGTATGAGCCGGTGGATTATGACCCACAAATGTTAAACTATGCGTTTTTGCAGAATATTGTAATCAATTCCAAATAAGTTTTAAATTTAACAGGAGGAACTGTTAAACCTGTCTCCAAATACAAAATTATCTGAATATTTATATTACAATAGCTATATTCTTATTCTTCTTCCTTGGCTCTACAACCTAGTGTGGGTCTTTGTCACCTCCTTTCAGAGGTTTTCTATTCTTTGAATTAATGCATTTGTGAGTAGTGAGTGACCAGGTCACTGCTTCTGCACAATTTCTACTCAATCCTGATTTTTGTGTGCTAGAGCCATCTAGTAGAGAATCGGGAGAGACATGGGTGAGAAATGGCCGCTAAATTTGGCTTACGAAACATCTCGTTCATGCTTATAAGGTTCTTTTATATGCCGTAAATCTACAACATGGGATCGCTGACTTTTCTTCCCCTCTGAACGAAGTTGTGCTATGGATATTTATCACCCTTAAAAATCCATCGACTTCGGCCGGGTTTGAACCCGGACCTTGGGTCCAGTGGCAAGCATGCTAACCACAATAGTTGTATTACATTAAACATATTTGTTTTTATATTTCTTACACTGTAATTGTTTGATTTTAAATAGTGACTGAGTTAAGCATCACCTTATTTATGAGCTCTTATTGAGATATTGTGCTAATAAATTTATTTCAGCGTGAAGTTATTTTAATAATATCACTGATCAGTCATGGTTCTCACTATACTAGCATTTATTTATAATTCACTTTTTGAAACGTGTTTCAACCCCAAGGGGCCATTCTCAGCCACCCACTGCACAACAGATTATAACATTTGTTTTTTATTTACAGAAGAGGCAAGCTAATTATGTTGTGCTGTAAAGAAAACTATTTCAGAAAATGTACAAAAAATTAAAGTTGGAAATCAAACTGAGACATGGAAGACTTTTGATGTGTAGTTGCATGCTGGTCTGCATCATTGGCTGATGTCTGTGTTTGCAGTTTATCTCAGACTATAATGGTGAGGACCATTATTTCACGCGGATTGGACCTGGGGGCCTAATCAATTTGGACAAGATCTATCGTACTCAGGCAGTCATGGATCGTATTGCTTCATTCCACCAGCACTATCACGCACGGGGGCGGGAATCAGCACACAACCTATTTCGAGACCAACTCAGGTAGCCATTCCACCTTTAATAGAAAGTAAATATTGCAGTTACATTTTTCTTCTAAGAACAATATAAACAGATAATATAAATTTAGAGGTGTTATATTGTGCATTAATTTTTTTTTTCTTGTGGTTGTAGTATACACACATCCAGCATTGAGCGTTCGTATCTCGTGGATGAATCGGAGGATCACGACTATGACCTTGATCTTGATACGTACCAACCTGTACAGTCCCTTAGCAATGACCATGGTGTCAGCTTTTTTCCCATCTCTGCTCCTCATAGTGGAATTGATCACCATGTACTACAGGTAAAGAAAATAAAATGTTCCATTTTAATAGGTTTTCTGTTTTTGTGTAGTAAGAAAGGTGGTGTTAAAATGTATGACATTTTTTATAACCAAAATCATTTTATTGTAAAAACATTTTGTTTTAGTAAAAAAAGATACAATGTATGTACTGTACTTCTAACTAAATAAGTTTATACAGTGGAAATGTTAACATATTTTATCTTATGTTTTTTTATGATTTGCCTAACAAATTAAGGTTATCAGTATAAAGAAACTAAACAAATACCTGATTCAGTGATTCAGACATTTATTTCCAGCCCATCATGACGTATTTTACAAGATGCTTTATTCACAGACATTTAATTAATCATGTAATTTTAGTTGATTTACACATTTAATTCTAATATTTTACAGTACAGTACAGAAAAATTCTTCCTATTATTTAGCAGATATGTAATTTCTCAGACTCCACAGATAATAATGCAAGCTTTGTATATTTGAAATATCTCATTTCCTTGATATTAAGATACTTTTAATTGTAAGACACACTCGTGACTTATTAAGAGGTTTTTAGGAAAAATGCATTATATTGATTCTTAGATGTGAAATGTAAGACACACCCCAATTTCAGAAATTTTAAAATGTGAAAAAAAGTGTGTCCTAGAATCAAGGAAATAGAGTATATATAAATTAACAAAGCACATTCATCAAAATAATTTGCTTTTCTGATGAAAAATGCTTGGGTTGGTCAATTTTTGCCCACAAACTGCCACTTGTATGCCTGGCATTGAGAATGTTACATTCTTATGCTGCAAGCTAACATCCACATTCAAACAACTCCACAGCGACTGGCCCAGCCTTATGGAGGTTCCTTTCGCAGGAAAATGAAGCTTACAATGTCTTATGCTGTGACAGGTGCTACACCATGGAAGCACAGCAGTGCACTGGGATGCCGAGGGAGGTTCACGGACAGCACTGGTGTATGTCAGGTTGGAACGAAGTTGTGCCACTCTGACATGGAGCCGCCCAGGATGGAGTGGGCTGCGAACTGGAACAGGTGGAAGTGGCTCTTCTCCAGATTACAGGTATATCTAAGGTTTCTTTTCATCCGTCAAACACTGTGGAGAAAGGTTCTCTTACATGGTTACAGTTTCAGGAACTTAACACAGTTTGGTCTGCACTGAAACATAAAATTCATTTCAGTTCCTGCCTCCATTACATGACATGATACTGCTAATAATTTTGTAAATATTTTCATTAGGTGATAAGGTTTCCACATTTCCCTTTTACCACCATAACTACAGCATTTGGACTTATATGGAAGTTAGGCTTTGTTTTATTTTATAAAAATAACATTCTAAGTTTTTCTAAAACCACAATTGTTTGTCAGCAATGCAGATAATCAGGAGTCTACCATACATAGCTTATATGTGTTTGCATATGAAGCTCAAAGGCATTTACTTATTTGTTCTTTTCCATGTAATTTCTTATAAACAATAACAGATGCTATAGTACTCCATTTAACGTAACAGTTCCATTTTTAATTCATAGTGAACTTTCTGCTTGGTAGATTAATCAGAATGGTTGAAAGAGAAATATGTTGGTATGTTAGTTATTCTGGTTCCAGATTGGTTCTGCATTTGAAGTGATCCTGTCATTATCATTACAGTTTGTCAGCAAACCCAGAAGAGACAGTGGCTCCAGGTCTAGCAATGAAGTTGTCTGCACCAGGTGAATCTGCAGGAGTGGCACTAGAAGAAGGCTATTTAGACCTGGCCATCGTCAAGGAGATAGTGCTAGGAGGTCGAGACAGGGATAAAGATCCTGATCTTGCTACAGCTTGTCGCCGTTACGGCCTCGACCGATTTACTGGTTCTGAATGCTGCCTGTCACTCGTTTATGGGGTGAATCTCAGTGATAATCGTGTGCTCTTCCTCCTCTGTCCACCCACACTCTGCAGGTATGCTTCCATTCTTCCCCTGAATTTGAATAAAGAGTTTATTATTCTTCCTGTCACAATTAATACAGTGCTCATTGTTTTAATTTGATATGGGGAGCTCTTCTTCCCATTAATTCCACAACATACAAGTAAGAGGATATTGTCTGTTACGTCAGAAATTGAGTTCGGTGTCCTGATTGTTGATGTAATCAAAACAGAGGCTTTCGTTTCAATTTTTGCGTTAAATAATGATATCACTTCTTCCATAATTTGAGCACACCACTTTTCTCTTGGTGGGATTCATCTTTATGTTTCTCAGTGAGTTGTGGCTCTGCATATTCTACTGACACTTCATGATGAACGACACTACTGTGTTTTAGAATGATCCATCATAGCAGTTCAACTTTTAAAGGAAATTGTTCGGCTTTCTTACCTGTTACTGATCATAGAATTTACTGTTGTATGGTCAAGCAAGAAGGTAGCTGTCTTTTGGGTTCATGTGCCTAGTAGTCTGGTAGAATTTGACAATATTTCAGAGGTGCTTCATGCTCCATCGTCAGGGTGTTTGAAATGTGAATAAACTTCTACCAGACTACATGGTACAACAGCACAAAAGCAATCTTCATACTCACTGCTGTGAGAACATAAAATCCAACATGGCTGCGGTAACTACTCCTTTATGTCAGTATCTCAGTTTATTTCCGAACAGCATTTCTGTTGTGTCAAGTCAGAACAGAAAATGTGTGTGTGTGTGTGTGTGAAGAATTGCTTGCTTAATTATTGCAATAGATTTTAATTTGATAGCAATTATTATAAATCTGTGTGCAGGATGTGGTATACTGGCCTATGTTGGGTGGTACGAGGACTGAAACGACAGCTCCAGCTGACAGATCGGCGGATGTTGTGGCTCAAAGAGCAGTACTTGCAACTATACTTTGAAGAAGGTTGCTGTGGGCCTATGACAGCTGATGCTATTCGGGTAGGTAATATCTGTCTGTAGCTTTAACAGTTTGCTGGGACAGAAAAAAAAATTATTTTGCTTATTTCTGAGATGGGAGGATAATATGTGGATCTTTGAGAAATGAGTGCTGAGGATGTCAGCTGCATTGAAATGACTTAGTATCATTACAATATCTGGTTTTAATATTGTCATAAAACTTTCAGGTTCTTTGAACAGAGAGATTGTTAAATAAACTCTATATTAGCCTCTGTGAAGTAGTATTATCAATGACAGGTTTCTTCAGTAAATGCAGAGGTTTCTGTCATTATAATACCAATATTGTGTTCTGTAATATATTTTTGTATGGCAGGTATTTGGTGGACGAGATTGGGCTTTGACTGGTAATGTGGGTGGAATGTCTCCTCCTGATAATGGGACCTTACGTCGTGGAGCCTCTGTAAAGTTCAAGAAAAAGAAGTCTATAGGCAACATACAGGCTCTAAAGGTAAATTATTGTTCTTAAAACTTGCAGAAATCTAGGGTTTTTATATCAACTTTTTTATTATTTTTGGCTCATGTTGGTAAAGTATTCTTCGACTCTATTTGATTTGTATTCAGAAGTTAAAGACAATAAAACACCATTACATTTTCACTTATAATACTGATGAATGCTGTGGGATAGAATTTTTCTTGAATAGTTGATAGTCACTCAGTTGATCAAGAAATTTCCTACGTTTTATAGCTGGACCTTGTCCTGATCTATATGAGCCCAGTCATCTTCACAACTTACTTTGTTATGCTCATTTTAATATTATACTCCCCTGTTTCCATAGGTCTTTGAAGTAGTCTCTCTCCTTCAATTTTCGAACTAAAACTCTGTATGTGGAATTAGCTGTCTTCTGGGTTGTAGCTTTGTGTAGTCTGGTATATTTTTACCAGCATTTCAGAAGTCTTTGTAGAATTTAATATAAAAATATATTTATGTTGCTTAAGACATGAAGAATACATATTTAAATGTATTTTAGTGGAGGAAACAGCCATTTACTTTAAATACTCATTCAGAACAGAAGTGTCTAATATCAGATCTTCCCTTTCAGGATCTTGGTCTAAAACATGATACTGGACCTGATATAGGAGCTGGTATCAGTATGGGCTCAATGTACCTACGGCGACCTACAGGAATATCTGGTGGACCAAGTCCTGGATCAGGTCCAGGTTCTAGCACTTTCATTACAACTCCACGTTCACGTTCTATCTCTAGTGACATTGAGGTCAGGCAAAGTCTTCTGGCCAGTGGTGCAAGTCCACAAGGTTCCAATGACAACCTCGACAAACTTTCTTCCTGCAGTCCGACCCATCACAGTGCCTATGGATTACAAAGGTAATTTCTGTTCTTTCCCTCCAAAGATGTCAAGATATAACTTGAGACCTAACATGAACTCTTGTTTATTCTAGTAAGTGATTGTATGACGTTGTATGAATTTCTGATGGCTTGTAACATTGAGTGAGAAATGGTTGTTATGAATTATGACATGGAAGAAAGAAATCATTGGTAGTTTTATCATGGCTTTCTCCTGGAAAGAGTAAGTAAAAACACAGTCAAGATTGCAGGTTTCTGGCCTCATTTGAAGCTGGGTATTTTTTGAATGCGAATCACGTCCATTACTGCTGTGGCAACTCACTTGATAATAACAAACACATGGACAGCTGCTACTGTAATTTTTTACATTCATTCACAAACAAAGGCAACTGGACAAGACTGCTTTAATCAAATGTAACAGAACACTAGCTGGTTTGTAAGTCTGTGTAGGCTGCTGGACCCAATTAACTATCTAATTACTCAAAAGTACCTACACTACTATCACTACCAGACACCTACACACATAATACTGTTCCCTCCCTATTCCCATTAATGCAAGGCATGACTTTACTACAGCATCCATGTGGAGCGGATGCAGAAGCTTGCAGATGTTGTGAGAAGCAGTGCTAAACAATACTTGCTGTTGGAAGGATGTACAGGAGAAGGTAATTCATCAACCGTGTTTGCTTCTATGCAGTACTGGAGTTAACAGAAAGGCAGTGTAATATGGAGTCAGATTAACTGAGAGTAGCAAACTGAGGAAGGAAAGAAGGAAATATGGATGAAAGAAGGAATGAGATTATGAAATAAAAATTTATAGAAAACCACACTTATATAAATAGTAAAGAATCCACAGTCTGAGAAGCCTTAAACAACTTATCTTTGATTTATCTGAGTTAGATTTATTACTGCAGAACTAACTCACTTGAGGCAAGGAAGCAGTGTTCTGTTTTTTTAGTCCTTCTATGTGGAATTCTGAGTATCCTGTTTTATAAGGAGATGAAATTACATAAACTGTAATTATTTTGTTTTCCGTAGTCAATCATAACTGTTGGATGGTTATTCTTTAAGTATTCTTTGTTTGCACATCAGATATAAATATGGCTAATTCTGTCATGAATGATGCTAGGCAAAAACAGAATTTTGTAATAAATATAACAATACAGAACATAACAGATTTATAAAAAATTGACTTCAAAATACTATAGTATGATCTTTGTATTCTTGAATGCTGATGAGTAAGCAATAATGTCTGTGAGCCTCTTAAGAACTTTCCCCTATCTTTTGGTATATATGGGAAGAGAAAGTTAACATGATAGTCACCCATGTTTTGGCACATTTTGCAACACTGCTTGAACACCTATCAGATTTGTTTTCATCTGTCTATGCGCATAAGAATGATGTTTAATTTTAACAGCACATGTGAAAATGTGTCAATTATGAACTCCCTTATTTTCAAGAGCATAACTTACTTTTTCTAATGGTGATAAAGTATATATTATCCTTTTCTTTGTAAATCCATATGTGGACTGGCTTGCATAAAAACTAAAAAGGATGACATAAAATTTAAACCATTGTTTTCTGTTTTTAATAAGTAAATGAATAATGAGTGACTTTTGAACAAATTGAGGAATATGTTTTTTATTTACAATGATGAACTGTCAGAATTTCATGGCAGTACAGAATGATGTGCCATTGCCATACCTCTTGGCTTGTCACCAGCAACATACAGGCTTCTGTTATAAATAGTAATAGAGGACATAATAGGCTATATTATTCATGCAAAATAAGGAAGAATGTGTCTCGCTTTTTCGATTAAATACAATTTAATACACCTGTGAGATTTCATGTTTCAAGCCACACAAAAGTTTTGTGCCACCCATTTGCTAAATTTGGCACAACATTAATACATTTGATTCACATTCAGAAGTTCCTGGCCAGAAACAAGCTGCATTACATAAGTTTCTGTGTTTTTCCTTAGTTTCTCTAGTTGAATTGCTTAATATCTTTGAAAAGTTCAGTAGGTCTTTTATTCCCACATTCAGCTTATATTAGCATTCATCCTCTTATGTATTATTTAGTGCTACTTAATATCAACAGTGACATAAAATAAAATAACCCCATTCCCATTCCTCATCATAAGTGATAATTATCATTAATCATCATAGTCAAATTGATGTTAGGCAGCATGGCCTATTAAGTGAATCTTGGCCTTTTACAATAGATTATCTTTTTAAGAATGCTAATTACATGTTCAAAGAATCATGCTTCAGTAAACTATGGACTTTATTTAACCATGATTATATATAAAAATGACAGTTGTGGTCTTCTGAGATGTGGTGTCTCATGATCATGGTATGACATCATAGAAGACCACAGTTGGCATCTTTACCACCTGAGAACATAAAATCTGAAAGGTAGAGAAATATTTGTCTTAATTGATAAATACATATGTATTCTCCTCTTCCACATTGTTGTCATACAGGGCCAATAAAATGTGTGGGAAATTACTATCTAACAACAGACCCTAAAGGTTCAACAATGCTAATACAAAATCTTCCTCCGCCCTCAGTTAGCTTTTTGGTTGGTTGGTGACAGTCTACTTTCTCAACAACCATTAGAATGCTACAGTAAACTCCCAGTTGTCTGGCCTAATGAAGGGGAGAAACACATAACCTAGAATATTTTTTATACATTCACAGAAGTTTACAAATTGCTTTATATTTTTGTACGTGACTGACTTTATTTTATGAAGCAGATTGTAATGATGACTTGTTTTTGTGAACTGTTTAAAGTTTTCCTTGCAGAAGTATGAATTTCTTCCTCCTCACCCTCTTCTTCTCCTGTTTATTATGCAGCAGCATCTACAATGTGTCTGTCTGTCTCGTGCTGGAAACCTACTTAACATGCATCGCTCTGTAGCTGTTCTTCAGCAATTCTTTATTGATGTTTTCAAAACTTCTCATAGCCAACACCATGTCAAGAATTTTGAACTTGCTGATTTCTCTGTTAGCAACATCTTGCAATTTGTCTTCTTCTGGATTTGGAAAAAGTTTCCTTTATAATTGAACCAGCATTACTGGATCCATAGAAGACTGTGCACAAGGTATAGCATCCAACACCATTTTTTCCTCCATGATTGTATTAGCATATTGATCAGCAAGTTTTCAGAGGTCAGCCTAGTAGCAGTATTTCATGGATGCATTAACTGAATCCCCACTCCATAATCTTTGGTTAATTCTGTCACTGATTCTCCATTCTCAAAATTTTCAAGTAACTTGGGCTTTTCTTCTATTGTCACTATAATTTTCTAATGGTTTTCAGCCATCTTACTGGGAGTCCACAACCATAAAAGCTCCAAAAAATATTGTTTAACCATATCTTCTGTAGATCCTCAAAAACTAACTCCAATCACTCCAAAGCTTGTGCAGAGATTAGAGATCTTTGCTCTACCTTGTGAATACATATTCTCGTTAATGAACTTTATTGTAAATAACCAAGAACTCTTTCAAACTAATTCTGCTGTACACAGTGTCAACACAAGGAATAAAAATCAGCTACATAGACCAATTGCCAACCTCTCATGCTTTCAGAAGAGTGCATATTATGCAGGAATCAAAATTTTCAACAGTCTACCATCAAATCTCACAAGTCTTGTAAATAAGAAGGAGCAATTTAAGGTAGCATTAAAAAAAAAGATACTTAATTACACACTCCTTTTACTCTGTCAATGAATTTATGTTGTTTACAAATAAATGATAACCTTTTCTTGTGTGTAATGGGTAGATCTACTTGTAGCTTATCATTTCTCTAGGTAAATACTTTGTTTTGTATTATGTGAAATTTATATAATAGTTTGAATTGTACTTTATAATATGTATTGTATTATTATTATTATTATTATGACTTTTTCCACATCCTATTGTCATCTGACTGTCTTATGGATCCATGGAATGTAAATAAATTATTATTATTATTATTATTATTATTATTATTATTATTATAGAAAAATGTTGAAATCCTGTTTCTGCATTTATATAAAAGAAGTTATTGCTCAGATAATCCACAAACCAGATAATCTGCTTGTGGATAGTTGGGAATTTGCCATATGTTATCCTCCCATCTCTTGACCTTTTGGATGACAGTTTTAAAACACATTCTGATTTACCAGTAATATATAGACTTCCTGAACCATGACTTAAAAAGGAAGGTAGTCATTGTTTCTACTTCACAGTCATATTCTCTGTTTCACACAATTATTAAAATCATGACATAGTGCCAAAGTAGCTCTGGAAAAAACTGACTGTAATTGGTTGTCTAGTTTTCTTCTTTTGTTAGTTCATAAATTTCTCATAAAAAACAATTATTTTTTCAGCCCCAATAAGGAATATAAACTTAATTTGTCTGTACAGGGAGAAAGGAAAAATGGTTGGAGGGCCTGAGCAGATTTGGCAGATGCGGCATTTTCGAGCTGGTTCCATCACGCATGAGACTCAGCTTGATTTTGTGGACTTTGTTGCATTGTTTCGATCATTCAGGTGAGAGAAAAAACATTTTACCAAGAAAAAAACAATTTTAAAATATGAATGTTTGCTGACATCTTTATTGATAGCCATATAAAAAGTTAGTTAGGTTTCAGTATTTGATTCATCCAGCTAAGAGTACTCTCAGCCATTGACATGTGGACTGCTGTTTGTTCATGGCTTTAATTTCCAACCATCTACAAATTTTTGTTAGTACCTTATTACATTCACAGCTGTATTATTGTTGTTGTTTTATTCTTTCTTGTGCTGTGTCTGTAGTTGGCCTTCTGGATCTTGATGCAGCACAATAATAATAGAGAACTGAATTGAATTGAATTGAATTGAATTATCATCGTCACAATTATAGAATTAGCTGTTACCCTTTTATCTGTTATATTTTGACCAAAAAATACAGATTTGTGACTAAATATTGTGTATTCTGTTTGCAGTAATGTTATATAATAAATGTTGACTATGGGTGATTTTGTTGTCTGATTTTAATGCTACATAAAAGTATTATTTTACACAGCTTTACTGGCATAAAGGAAACAGTATTGCTCTTTTAGCAATAATGTTGCAGTTAAAGTTGCTTATTAATGGTGAATAGACAAAGATTTTGAAGGAAACAGTTGTCATATATCCTGGTATTCACCAAAACTGGTCCGAGGACTGTCACAAAAGATACAATAGTCAGAATAGCTAGCAGTCTAACCAATGTATGAATCTTTTCTTTCCCAAACACAAGCATAGAATATTATTATTTTTCTAACTTGCACTAACATACAATCACTACTTATGAAGTTATAGTTATTCTAGTTATAATCTGATACACACAAACTAATGATAAGATATTGTCATTATTTTCAGTTTACGAGCACGGAAGGACCTAAGAGACTTGTTTGACCAGCTTGCAATTACATGTCGAAGCATGTCTGATAGTTCGCTAAATGATGGAAGTATCAAAAGTTCACCAGAACATGCAGCAAAGCCACCACAAAGAATTGGTAAGTATAAAAATTGTGCTTATTTGATTGACTTTTGGACTATTGAAATAAAAATTAGGTATACTAAGATGCTGCCTTCTGGGTTGTAGCATCGTGTAATCTGGTAGAAGGTTGCCAATGCTTCAGAGGTCCTTGCTGCCTCCATCATTAAGGTGATGATGGAGGCAGCAAGCCCTCAGAAATGTTGGTAAACTTCACAGTACACAGCCATCTTTGTACTCACCTCCATAAGAACCTCAAATCCTACTTATGTATATTGGTTTTATTAGATTCTTAACCCTTATTAGTATTTTTGACTGAGTGTGAATCAAAATATCAAATTAAAAAGAAAATTTATCTAACTTACCATGAATTTTGGTAGTGGCATTTCCTTCATTTCAGAAATAATGGGTATAATGGGATGACTTTCATTTACTGTAATTGTGTGTTGGTATGTCTTAAGTACCAAATACGATACCATGACTTAATGCCTGTCTTGTTTGTGGAAACAATTTTCATTAAGGTAAGAAAAGGCCATGGAACTTCAGTGGCATCTGAGGTATAGATAGAAGTAATTACTTTATACTTTTTATGAGGAAGTTCACAATTCGTACTCTCTGCAAAATATTTTTACAGTTGTCAAATTAAATGAGAGATGAAGATTTCTGTCTTCTGGGTTGTTGCGCTGTGTAGTCTGGTCGATGTTAACCAACGTTTCAGAGGTCATACTGCCTCCGTCACACTCACCCCTGTGAAAACCTCAAATCTTACGAAATGAGAGCTATGAGAAGTGCATACAAATTTTAGTCAGTGAATCCGAAAGGAAGAGACAACTTGGTAGACCTGGGCATTAATGGAAGTATAATAATAAAACTGAACTTACGGGAATAGGGTATAAGATTGTGTACTGTAATCATCTGGTTCAAGATAAATTAGAATGGTGGGTTCTTGTGAACATAGTAATTTTCTTTCAGCTTCCTTAAAAGATGGGAAATATTGTCATTAGCTGAGCAGCTATCATGTTCTCCAGAAGGATTCTGCACCATAGAGTTAATTATTTAAATAGTTTTATTTTTAGTGTAAATTTGTGCTTGTATCTCTGATTTAGGTTTGTTGACCAGAAATAGTTCTCTGGACCTGTTTGAGTACAAGAGCTCTGCTAACCTGCAGAAGAAAAAGATCTTTGATGCAATTGCATCAGCAAGCATTGTTTCAAACTGTGCTGGAGTAGACACATCAAAATCCCAGGTGATCACTCTTGCCACCTTTGTCAAGTTCCTGGAAACTCGACAGATGGAGCAACACACCGAGGATGAAGTTAAGGCACTGATACAGGTCAGTGATTTTCAATTACAGCTGTGATACTCAGAACTAACACAAGTTTTGTTATGTCATCTGTCAATATTACACATTCATCAAGTTGTCATATTTAGAATTTAGTTTGAACAATAATTTGTCCTCTCATATTTGAATACAAAGTTCTTTAATTTAAAACTAACAAGTACTAGTCCATGTCTGCCATCTATTAAGATCATCAAAATTATATTAATATATTGACTAACAATCAAGAATAATTGATGTTACAGTATGCTGTACCCTTACCTGAATGTGCTGTCCATAATTATATTCAATTCAATTCCTTTATTGAAGGATATAAAATAGCTTTTGTTGCAGCATTATCTCTAATACCTAAATGTAGTTAGGTAAAGAATAAATTTCAGAAATCTGTGTCACAAGAACCGTGACAAACGACATAACTAATAAGTTGTAAATGTCAGTGTTTCAGTGACAGTGGTGGGGTTAGTGTTAAAAAAATATATAAGCAGATTGTCTCCCTTAACAGTGGTTGAGTAGCCGAGTTCCAGAATAGACTGTAGAAGTTTAACTGTCATCTTTGTGGTTGTTTCATAGCGGCATGAACCAGATCCCTTACTTCGAGCCCAGTGCTGCTTATCCTTTGAAGGGTTTGCTCGTTTTCTCATGGACAAAGACAACTATGCATTTGTTAGCGAACGTCTTGGACCTGATGAAAGTGAGACAGACCAGCCCCTGTCTCACTACTATATTGCATCATCACATAATACCTACCTCACAGGGCACCAACTCAAAGGCGAGTCTTCCGTTGAATTATACAGTCAGGTATGTACTTGTAGTTTAATACTGTACTGTACTTTATTTGTGAGATATTTCCCTTTATGAATGACTAAGTGGATGGATCATCAGGAGCAATTTTCCTGACTGCCAGGGCATAGCCTTCCTGATATGTGTGAACACTGTGTTGGTTGTCACCTTTCCTAGTTAGTCATCTGCGGTGATAGTGAGATCATGGCAATATTATATAGTGAAGTTTACTTATCTCTATTGGCATTTTTCTGTGCCTGTGAGTCAGGGTTAGTATTAGGACATAAAGAGTTAAAGATCTGAATCAGATATTAGGTACAGGTTCTAAAATATTCACAGAGTGTTGTAATCAGTAGGACTCTAGTATGTTTAGTTCATAACAATCAGGCAGAAAACAATTCTTATGGGTATTCAAATAAGGACGAGGATTACACATCATGTTTGTTGTCAGGTGCTTCTTACTGGCTGCCGTTGTGTGGAGCTGGACTGTTGGGATGGAGATGATGGGTCTCCTCTCATCTATCATGGCCACACATTCACCACAAAAATCCCATTTCGATCTGTGGTAGAAGCTATCAACCGCAGTGCATTTGTAACATCTCCTTATCCAGTGATTTTATCCATTGAAAATCATTGTTCTCTGCAACAGCAGGCTCGAATGGCTCATATTTTTCAGGTAAATGTTGATTCAGTTCTTAGTTCTCATCTTTTAAAATTTTTAGCATGTGCTTAATGGTGAAGTACACCCCAGTTGCAGCTATCAGAAGGAAGGAGTTTAAAACCAAAAAGTTCAAAAAATATTCCTTGTAGATCAACATTATTAACGACATAAATAAATTAATATATTTAATGTCCTAATCTACAAGTTATTTGTGTCGTTTTATTGTCAGTTCATTGAAACACTTAGACATATCAGATTAGAACTTTGTTGTAAAGGAAGATACAGAGTAAAGATTTCTGTCTTCTGTGTTTTTGCGCCGTGTAGTATGGTAGTTGTTTACCAATGTTTCACAGGTCATACTGCCTCCGTCATCAGGGTGATGAATGTGCCAATTGAGTGGAGAAGGCTAGGTTTATAGGGACTGGACAGTGAATCTAGTAGCCTGCTCCTAGCCAATGGGAGCAGGTGTCAAATCAGGCATGGGTGGGGATAGCGTGGTCGTGTTGTGGGGTGTGTGAGTTTTGAAAACGTATTTTTCTGTAGGACTATTTGCAGAATCCACCATATTAGATCTATTTCATTAAGTATTTTACAGTGTAATATGCCTACATGTCACAGACTGATTGGATTGTTTAACTAAGAAATACTTTGTTGTGTTTCCTTTTAGTCTGTGTTCGGTGAAAAACTTGTGACCAAGTTCCTGTTTGAGACTGACTTTAGCGATGAGGTCCAGTTGCCATCTCCTTCCCAACTTCGATATCGTATTCTAATCAAGAACAAGAAGCTGACAGCTGAAATACCAGCTGGACCTGCAGCGGTGGCAGCAGCAGCCGCTGCCAGTGCATCTGTAAGACATGGAAGCAGTTCCCACACACCTCTCCGTGGTGCCGGCAGCATGAGTAGCAAGCACACATCTTCTGGGAGGGCAAGTTCCATAATTTCCAACACAAGTGGAGGGTCTGCAAATGATGACTTCAGTGATGACGACGATGATGATGATGATGATGATGATGATGAGAATCTAGAAGGTAATTCGGCTCATCATATGACATAAATATCAGGAAGTTCATTATTGGCATTCTGAGTAGGAGCATTAACATGGCGTTACATAGCTTGCCTGATAACATTGTAGCACATGTGGGGTCACTCTGTGACTTCCTCTTGCTTATTTATTACATTCACATATTAGACCACAGTTCAGGCTCTTCAGGATCCATTGTCTTGGTGAGATCATCTGTTGCTTTGTCTACTAGTTTCTCCTCTTTCTCATGGTTTATAATTTTTTACAGATGAATCAATTTTATCATTTGTCGTTCTCTCCAAATTTTCTATGGTATCATATATTATTAAGATTATTATATCCAGGAGGTAGGCTCTTGTGAACATGGTAGTGAACCTACAGGTTCTATAAAAGGGTTTTCTTGGCAACTGAGCATATGATAGCTTCTCAGGAAGGACTTTGCTGTATTTAGTTTGTTAGTTATTAGTTCATACATGAGCTGGTGTGTAAAGGGGCCTGTTTCAAAATATGATTTTTTTTATTGTACTTGCCTATAATGTAGCTGAATCGCCTGAAGTATTGTGTTCTTTGTTGAAACTCTTGTTCTAAGAGTCTTTTCTAAATTGTGACTAGATCATAGATGTGTTTCTCTTTTTGTAAGGCAGATGAAAATGAAGAGCAAAGGAAAAAAATTTCCCCTACATTTCTAATGCTATCATTGTTGTTGTCATTGTTATTATTATTATTACAGAGAAAGTGTTAAGTTTGGCAATGTACACAACAGAAGACAAAAATCTCATCAAGTCTGCGTCAATGGGGCCACCCCGAACAGACTCCATCTCAAGCCATGAGAGTATGATCCGATCAGAAAGGGCCAGCATGGGGATGATTGGTCAGCTCCCTCGTGGACAGCCCTATAAGATTCACACTGGAGATACAGACTGGACAGACGTGGAAGATTCTCAACCACAGAAACCCAAGAAACAGAGCAGCCAAATTGCTAAAGAACTATCAGACATGGTAATATATGTCCAGGTGAGGTAGAACATTCTGCTTTAAAACATTAATGTCTTCTAATTTATTGATAATGTCATTACATCTGTCAAGTTATGTTAACCTTTGAAGCTAGTATTTAAATGATCCTTAAGCTAACACTGATGTGGTATTTGAATGGCCTGTCAGTAACAAACTTGTGGCATACAAATTGTAAATTTTTTCCCACTTCCAGTCATACTGCAATCGTTGTTGTTTCAATAGCAAATTCCTCACTAACTCATCTTTTTTGTTATTCACAATATCTGCTTCACGTTCCTTCCTGTGTGATGGTTTTTTATCCATAAAGCTCATTTCACCTTAATCACTATCAAATTCACTCCCATTGTCATAAATTCTAATGTTTCTCTTATCAGGATCCTATAAAACTTCTATTTTTTCCAAATTCAGATGTGAAAGGTTAGGTTATACCATGTTGCTTACTGGTTAATACAGTGTCAGTATAGAAATAAACAAAGGAAAATAGATGAATGAATGGATGGGAGAAACATTTCAAGGTCTCATTGTTCAAATAATGTAACAAAAATCCAACAGAAAGCACATTAATGACGATTTGTCCTGGTTCCTGCTACAACTGGTGAGTACATATTCAGGATACCGCTGATAAAGGAGGCTTCCAGCTGTGAGTAAGCTCTTGGGCTACCAACTTGAGTTTAGCTTCAGATTAACAGAAGAGTATAATTTAGTTCATAACTGAGAAACCTAATTACTTTTAGAAATATCTATAGAAAATAGTCTCTTGTGGCCAGGTTGACTTTAGGGTGTGTTGTTGAGTTTCTTAAATTCACTCTCACTGTACCCACAGAAATCAGCAGTTTATCAGTTGAAATGGTGAGCTCAGATGTGGGATCATTTTCAGTTAAATTCCTTCCCATTTAAACTTCTATCTTTAGAATTTAGTTTGTTAATAAGTAGGTAAAACATTTTCATACATAAATATTAGACATATGGTCATGCTTTGCTATTATTGCTTTTCCCCCTTTGTAATTTGTAATAGGAGTTGCTGAAATATATATATATTGTCAGTCTGAAAACAGTTGACCCAATTAACTAATGTTGGGATGATTTTCTCTTGAGACATGTTCCTGTATGTCACAGGATTATGCACTGGGTGGATAACACACTTAATAACCCATGTGTTTCCAACAACAAATCAGAGACATTACCACTGATACATATTCAGTATGTAAATATGATGTTATACAAGACTTCGGCATATGTGAAATTATCCATTCTCTGTGGTAGAAAGCCAATCCTGATGTGGATTAATCTCGCGACTGAGATTTAACACTGTTATCCAGTTCTTCAGGAAAATTAAGTAAAGTCAGAATTCACATACTTTCATCATATTGTGGTGGATTAAACATGTAGCTTAGATAGGGTAGTAAGAAATACATACAGAATTTTAGCTGAAAATTATTATTTGGGAAACCAAACGGAGATAAAAGAAAAATATTTAAATGAATCTTAAAAGATGATGTGAATTGAATTGATCCATAATCAGGTCAAATGACAGGCTTTTGTGTTAGCAGTGCTGAACTTCAGAATTACATGACCTAATAGTAAGTTTAATTGGTTTAAAAGATAAAAGCAAGTAAAACAAAAAATTGCCAATCTCATGTTTCCTTAAAACAAAGTGTAACAAGCAAATTTATATTTTTAAAATTTAGTTTTCATTTTCCTCCTAGGCAATTAAATTTCGTGGGCTGAACACCATCAGCCCCAACAGCTCAGTTAAATGCAAGAGAACAGGTGGTCCAGTGGCTGCCACAGTCATTATGAAGAAGAGCAGTGTTGGTGCTGTGACCATGCCGCCCCCCACAATCATCACCAGCACTCCAGCCACGCCAACATCCGCTGTCACACAGGCTTCCAGTGGGGGCTCAGTGTCACTCTCCACAACTTCTGGCATTGGCAGCAGCAGTACTGCCACAGGCTCCACAGCTTCTGAACAGCAACATTCCTATGCGAAGCAACGTGCCAATATTCACCACCCATGCTACCAGTGTTCTTCCCTTAATGAGAATACAGCCAAGAAGCTTTGCCGCAAACAACCTCATGCCCTAGTGGCTCATACAGAAACACAGTTGATGAGAACATATCCTGCTGGAATGAGAATAGACTCCTCCAACTTCAATCCAGTCATCTTTTGGGCCTTCGGTATTCAGATGGTAGCACTGAACTATCAGACTGAAGATGCAGCCCTGCACCTGAACGCAGCCATGTTTGAACAGAATGGTCGCTGTGGGTATGTGTTGAAACCGTCAGTGATGTGGGATCGTGGACACATGATGTACCGGCGTTTCAATCCATGGGACAAAGAGTTTGATGGTCTACATTCATCACATCTTATTCTAAATGTGGTATCAGGACAATATGTGTGTCAGAGTAACCTGACAGCAAGCACATATGTAGAGGTGGAAGTAGTGGGGATTCCAGTGGACTGCAACAAGCAGAAAACTAAAGTGATACAGAGGAATGCACTGAACCCTATCTGGAATGATACTTTCTTCTTCCAGGTGATGTTTTGTGACTTAGCATTCCTTCGTTTCAGTGTGTTAGAAGCAGGAGCAAACCATCTATTAGCACAGCGTGTGTTACCGCTCAAGTGCCTGCGGCCAGGATATCGTCACGTGAGACTCCGCTCCCCGCAGAATCAGCCCCTGCAACTCTCCACCCTTTTTGTATATTCCCGAGCTGAGGAGGAGAGTCTGGACTATAATGGGAGCTCTGTGGAGAATGGCGATGCAGTACACATGGCTGTAAGGGGTAGTCTGGGTGGAACCTCGAAGCATGGCCGGGACAGTGTTTCAGAAGCAGTGGCCATAAAGAAGAATCACCCCTCTGGTAGTGGTGCAGTGCCACTCAAGAGGAGAATGTTCTTCTTGATGGTGCATGGTGTTGTG